CCCGCACACGCGCAGGGGGGCATCCTGTCTGGCGACGGCGGCGACGAGGTCAAGGACATCCTGCTGCTGGATGTGTGCCCGCTGTCGCTGGGCATCGAGACGGTGGGCGGCGTGATGACCAAGCTCATCCCGCGCAACACGGTGATCCCCACCAAGAAGAGCCAGACCTTCACCACCTACCAGGACCAGCAGACGACGGTGGGCATACAGGTGTACGAGGGTGAGCGCGCGATGACCAAGGACAACCACCAGCTGGGCAAGTTCGAGCTGAACGGCATCCCCCCCGCGCCGCGCGGCCAGCCCCAGATCGAGGTGTCCTTTGAGATCGACGCCAACGGCATCCTCAATGTGGCCGCGGTGGAGAAGGGGACGGGCAAGTCGGAGAAGATCACCATCACCAACGACAAGGGGCGGCTGAGCCAGGAGGAGATCGACCGCATGGTGGAGGAGGCGGAGGAGTTTGCGGAGGCGGACAAGAAGGTCAAGGCCCGGATCGACGCGCGCAACTCGCTGGAGGCGTACCTGTACTCCACCAAGGCGGCGCTGGACGACAAGCTGAAGGGCAAGCTGGACAAGGCCGACACCGACGCGGTGGCCTCCGCGGTGGGCGACGCGCTGGAGTGGCTGGAGGACAATGGCGAGGCGGAGGCGGAGGAGTACGAGGACAAGCTCAAGTCGGTGCAGGACGCGGTGGCGCCGGTCCTGGCCAAGGCCAAGGCCGCGGCAGGGGACGACGACGACGACCTGGGCGACCACGACGAGCTCTGAGCTTCGTCGTGAGGAGGGGGACGGCCGGGCGAGCCTGTGATCGGATGGGTCGGCACTGGGCCGACGAGCCTCGGGCACTGGCGAGCCCTGCTCACCCCCTTGTCGGACGGCTGAGGGGGTGCCGAGCACCGGGCCCTGGCCTGGCACCCGTGGGCTGCGGTGCCAAGGCCATCGACGCACCCCCTGCGGGGCCATGCCCGTTGCCTGGGCGCCGCTGTCGATCCGATGCATTCCCCCGCACCCCTTCTCCTGGCAAAGACCAAACCCCACACAGCACCGCACTGTACTCATTTCGCGCTCCCCATTCCCCTGTTTCCACCCGCGTGCTTCAAGCATTCACACCACGTGAACAAGGGGGGAGAACCACATCCAGAAGGGGAGGGTGCCGACGGCAATAGGGGGGCCAGCTGGGCCGGGCAGGCTGCAGGCAGGCCGCAGGCAGGACGCCGGGCCCGGCATGTGATTGGGGCAAAAGTGCATCGGGGGAACAGGAGGGAGAGAATTGGTTGGAGGCGCCCCAGGGGAGGACTGCAGTCTTCTCGGCCCCTGGGGGAGGGCCTGCCTCGTTTGAAAACAGGACTGGCAACGCTGAAATGAAAGGAAAATAATGGGAGGCTGCGCGGCGGGGCGGGGCGGAGGGGGCGCCGGCAAACGGTTGGCACCCTCGCCACCCGGGCCCGGCGGCGCGGCGCCTGTCAGACAGGTGGACGCCTGGTGGTCTTGGAAGAGAGGGGTGGAGGCGCTACGGTGCAACCCCACCCCTGGGGAGGGCCCGGGGGTGGGGGCGGGGGTGTCCTGCGTCCGTCGAGCAGGGGGAGTGCGCACGGCACAGCCAGGGGCAAAGGGCATACTGGGACAGGATTCTTGGTGTGCAACGAGTGGCATAGCCATAATACTGGTTCAGTGGGGTACGCGACGGGGCCCGGGAAAGGGGGGGGGGGGGGGGGCTGGTGCATGTTCTTCTGCCTGTACTGCCGTGCGAGAGCAGCATTGGAGCGGGGGAGAGGGACAGGAATACGGCGGGCGCCAGAGGGAGAGAACTGCGGCGGCCTCGTCCTCGCACGAAATAAAACAGCTACGGTGATGGAGATGGGGATTGCGGGCAGGCGCCGAAGGGGGGGCGTGGCCGCCCGGGGGGTCAGCACACAAAGCGCGCCTTGCCGCGCGACACCTGGTTGCACAGGCTGAGCAGCGAGGAGGACTTGCGCAGGGTCAGGCCCAGGGGGCCGCCCTCCGCCGCCGCGCTCTCCGCGATGGCCTTGAGGAAGCCCGGGGGCGGCAGCACCGCGGCCTCCGAGGTCGCCGCCACCGGCACCACCGCCGGCCCCACCTGCACCTTGATGCTGGGCAGGGGGGCGGCCCGGTGCGCCAGGGGGGCGGGGGCGGCGACCGGGGTCGTGGCGGGGGGCGCGCGGCGGGCGTCGCTGGGCAGCGGGGGTGGCAGCGGCCCGTCGGCGGGCGTGCCCCACACACATCCCGGCGGCAGCTGGGGCCAGCGGGAGACGGGGGGGATGGGCACCTGGGGATGGAGGGAGGGGTCGGGAGGAGGGGTCTGAGCACCGGGCGGGGGGGGGGGGGGGAGGCTGGCTGGCCTACTGAGGGGCTGGGGATGTAAAGGTGGGGCTGTGCCATGCATCCCTGGAGGGAGCGTTTGCAGAGACTGCAGCCGCTCAGCAGGCACCGGCCGTGAGAGGACCTCTGCACCGGGACAGGGCCCCCCCACCCCAAAGAAAACAGACCCCGGCGCACCAGGGGACCGAAGGAGGAGGGCTTGAAGGCCAGGGGCGGGCGGGTGTAGGGCTGGGCCGCGCCCGCGCGCTTGCTCCCGACCTGGGAGCTGACACCGCCGGTGCGCTCCACGCCCTGGTCCATGGCGAAGCTGGCCGTGCTTTCCACCACGTCCAGGTCCATGGACAGGTCGGAGAAGTCCACCGCCGAGAAGGAGGAGGAGAAGACGTCGGCCAGGGGGGTGTCCTCCGCGGAGGGGGTGCATGGCAGGTCCAGGCTGGAGCAGGAGGAAAGCGTGAGCATGGACGTGTCAAACATGGCGTCAACGGGCAGGAGGTGGGGGGTGGCCATCATCTGTGGGGGCGGGTGTGAAGGGGAGGGGTTGGTGGTGGGGTGCTGGCAACACCAAGGGCTCCTGGTGGGGGGGCGGCCTTGCCCAGGCAGCACGCTGCATGGGATGCAGTATCACACCCATGCCACCCCACCCCAACCCACCCCTCCACCTCCTCACCATGCGCACGGAGTGCTGCCAGATGTTCTTCAGCTTCAGCATGGACAGGGGCTTGCTCAGCAGGTCCACCGCCCCCAGCTCCACTGCGTGCATCGCCTCCTTGGTGGCCTCAGCCGAGTCCGACATGGCCACGATGGGGACGTCGAAGAAGGCGTCCACAAAGGACCTACCCGTGGTGTCATCTGCGCTCAACAGCCCCCCCTGGAGTGGGAAAGCAGAGAGAAGGGGAGGGGGGGTGGAATAGAAGCAGCGAGCGGCTCGAGGCACACCCTTAATGTGTGGGGCGGGGTCGAGCAAGGTCGCCATGTTACGATCCCTCAGGCTCCGTCACGGGGCGGAGCAGACCACAGCGGGGACTCACGTTTGCGAGGATGACGTCAAATATACGCGGCCCGTTCGTCGAATAGGCCATGGCGTCGCTAAGGTTAGTGCATGAAGTGACTGTGGGGGGGGAAATCCGGCGATCGATGGGACAGAATCAGACCCGGTCGCATGACACGGCACGGGCTCCGCCCCGTATTGCGCCCATGTCCTACGCGCCAGCCGACCCTTACCCGTGTAACCGAGCTCATGCTGCGTGAGCTGCGATGCAATGGCTCCTAGCTCAGGCTCGGTTTCGACGAGGAGGACTCGCAGGCCCTGCAAAGAGAGGGAAGAAGCCAGATCAGTTGCGCCACGCGACCCGCCAGGCGCCTCGGAAGAATCCAGTACGCGCAGACCCCATGGGCGACCCACCCTTGGGAATCCGTGGCTTCTAGGTCCAAGTGAGGTGTCCATTGAGCAATGTGGGCCCTGCCGCGTGGGGAGATGTCGTATTGGAGACAGCCACTCCCGATAATGGAGCGACCCGCTGTCTGACAGCCGACTTCTTACTCAGGTCCGATCCGCGCTCCGATGCATCATGAGCAGACTCTATTTATCTCAAAGTTATTAGCCAAGTCTGGACACGACTAGAGTCCGTGATCTTGTGGTGGTGTCCACGGATTAGGACCGCAAGTTGGGCGAGCGAAGCTCGCTCGGATTCGATTTCGGCCCCCGTTTCTCGACCCCGGGGGCCCCCATGCAGGCTATGTCACCGACGATGCGGCTCCGCGGCCCCCCCGCGGACCTGCGTGCACCTTTTTTTAAACTTGTGACGCTTAATGCGGAGCGGTGAAGTGATCTGAGTAAGGGTCCGGGGCTGCTTGCAACTGGGTCCACGCCGTCGATCCTGTGTTAACAGTCAGCGAATCCCAAAGATTTGGGGTCCCTGAGTATGAAGATAAAATACAACACTGACGCACAGACAGTCAGCAGGGGATTGGTTCTTCATGAAATGAGATGGAGGGGACACAAGACTTCAGGAAAGCCAATCTGGGAGCTTGGATCCCTGCGTCCGCGCCTCGGTGCCGTTTCCTCCCACCACCTCGCCCGCCCGCTCCTTCGTGAGCCCTGCAATGGCCGGGTGCTCCAACAGAGCCTCCATGAGCCGCGTGCCACGCAGTGCATTGGTCAGCGGGAGGTGTCCCTTGCAGGCCTCTGTGCTGTAAATGAACTCCTGGGGCCATTTCCTGAGCAGGCAGTTGGGGGGTAAAGGGGGGGGGGGGGATTGTATCATGCGAGTTGGGCACATTGAAACCAGACCTGGTGCACGGCATGAACGGGCTGGAATATCTCCGACGGAGCTACAGTATCGCAATAAAAGGAGTGTGTGATAAAGTATGCCACGCTCATGCATATACCAGGGTAACAGTCCCCTTCCAAAGAGCAACAGCAACTGGATGAGGCGCGTGGTATACCCAGCTGGGATCCCCCCCTCCAATTATCCCTGTGAGCATGCCAGGCAGCACAGCGCACAAACACACCCCATGGTCCCACCAGCACACCCACCTGTACATGTTGTACTCTCCCGCCACCCAGTTGATGGCCTTGAAGAACTCCACCCAGCGCCGCCGGTGCTGCGTCCAGACCTGGCGCTGAGCGGTGAACCCAAAACGACCCCCGGAGGCCGCACTCCACAGCGCGTCTACCGTCTTCAGGTCGGCCTCAGGGATGGCCGCCACCTCCGACCAGTACACCCAGTTGCGGTGCCTGGCCTCGGGCCCGGCCAGGGAGATGAGCAGCGCCCGCGTCTCGTCGTCCGCGCCCTGGAAGTCCCCAGCCTTCAGAAGGGACTGCAGCTTGGTGTAGTCCTGCTTGGCCTGCGTCGAAGGAGGGGCCCAGGGTGAGGGGGTGAGGGGGGGGTCCAGATGCCGAGATTTGCGGTGGAAGAGGAAATGATGTCAGGGCTGCAGCTCTGCGCACAGCTGCTCTTTCCCACCACCCATGCCATGGCTACTACATCAGCGGTGCACCATGCATACCCATCGCAGCGCTTCCGGATGCTCTGCGGTGTCCCATACACCTACCTCGGAGTTGAGGGGCACATCGTTGACGTCCATGGGGGGCGGTGCGGAGCCCGACCCACGGGCACCATTCGACGATCCACCCAGCATGCCACCCAGTGAGGGGCCATCGCTCTGCCAGTCATCCAGCGAGGTGCGGGGCCGGGCGCTGGATACTGCACGAACCATTTGCGGCCTCGACGAAGGGCGTCGATGGCAGTGTGCCAGGAAGGGGGACGGTGCCCGTAGCGTGAGCAAATCCCGTCCCCCGGGGGGGCCAGCCATGAGCAGCCTCATGGCGACGGGATGACGAGCGATCTAGTGGACTATTGGCCCGGGGTCGATGTCAGAATGTTGTACTCTTCACAGACTTGGTATTGTCACCATGCCTGGAGTCCTGCATGACAGGGAATGGTGACGTCCCCTCCCCCTTATCGGGTGGATTGCGCAGTACCAGGCGGGGAGCGGGGATTTCCCGTGAATGTGAACTCGGAGTGCAAAAGCTGGCGATCGATGGCAGGCGCAGCGAGGGATCACCGAGCTACCAATTCGATTGCTGGCGATGGCATCATGCTTTTGATTGCATGTGTCTGACACCTCCCTTCCCAGTGGTCGTGTCCGAACATGTCTTTTGACATGGCCCTGCCACACACCCAGCGCGTCCAGGCCATCCTGCAGGATGGCCTTGAGGTGCTACCGGAGAACCAGGAGCTGTGGAATCTGTACAGAGCGGCGGAGCCTGGGATCGGCAGGCCCAGGGACGAGGTAGGTTGTATGGGAGGGTGCTGGGCGAGGGGTGGGTGCCCGCCACCGGCTGCGCAGGACGGGACCTGAGGAGCCACCCACCCGCACCCCGTGCACCTCAGGACGACGAGGTGGAGGACGATCCTCTTCTGAAGCCGGACCAGGAGCAGGCCAAGCCCATCACGCCCCAACGGGTGCTGGACAAGCTCCAGGACGCCAAGGTTCGTGTGACATCATCTTCCTCCTTTTCCGGGGGGAAATGGATTGGGAGGGGCACAACAATCCTCGTTTGGACCCCTCATCAAGTGGGTCACTGCCTGCACGCCGCCCCCGGCTCGCCCCGTGCCCCTGCGCCCCACTCCCCCACCCGCAGACCCTGCATGCCCACCGTCAAACAGGCTGAGCTGGACGTGATCGTGGATGTCGTGGGCATGGTGGAGGCGGCGCAATTCCTGTCGGTGGCACACGTGCCGCGCCGCGCCGCCATACAGGCCATGGCCCGGGACCGGGCGCTGGCGCTGGCTGGAAAGCGTGGCGCGCTGCGGGGGGCGGCCGCCAGGCTGCGCTCCGCGGCGGCCGCGCTGCGGGGCCCCGCCGCGGCGGAGGCGGAGTACCTGGACCAGGTGCGGCAGCTCATGGGCTGCTGGCACCTCAGGCGCGCCGCCAACGGTGAGACGAGTCCGATCAAGAGGGGGGGTTGTGGTGCATGCAGGTAATCGCATCGCACCCGGGCTTGGGTGATTCCATGGAGTTCCTAGGCTCGATGCAGGTATGGACTTGTTCTGCCACCCGTGGCACACATGTACGACGGCATGGGCACTCTAAGGATCCTACTCATGGACGCCCCTTCCACTCCCTTGTACTCCGGTTCTGCTGTCCTGAACCGTCGTAGCCTCCCACACACATGCCCACCCTGGCACTCCAACCGTAAGCGCCCCAAACCCTGCCCACTCTCCCCCTCCCATCCCTGATCCTGTGCTCTCTGCACCTCATGCCTCCACACAGGGCTGCTGGGCCACACAGTGGAACTGCTCCCCCTCCACATCTTCGGCGAGCACACCGCAACCATAACCCCCTCGCCCGATGGCCAGGCCGGCTGCGGCGAGGCGCGGGGCCTGCAGGCGGTGCGCCGCGAGCTGCAGCGCCGCCAGGCGGCGGCCCTGTGGCGCAGCGTGCACAGCGCACTGGCCGGCGGTGGGGCCCAGGACTGGGGCCTTGCCGCGCTGGCGGCAGCTGCCGAGGCGGAGGCCGCCGGGCGCGCGGCAGCGCCGGGGTCCGACGCCCCTTTGCCCCTCCCGCTCCCCGCCTTCAAGTCCTGCGTCCTGGGAAGCCTCCAGGCGGTGGCCTCCAAAGCGCAGCTGGCGGGCTCGCTCGGGGCCGCCCTGCGTGGGGCCGTCGCGAGTGAAGGAGTGCGGTCATGCCTGGCGGCGCGGCAGGACCTGAGCGTCGTGCACGAGGAGGGGGGGTGGGGAGGTGACCCCCACGTCCTCCACGTCTGCCTCGGGGAGCTGGAGGGGAGCGTGGCGGTGGACGGGCGGGGTGTGCTCCTGGAGGGGCCGCTGTGGCCCCGCGACGTCCAGGGGAGGCGGCATGTCGGGGAGGCGGAGCTGCGTGCTATCCTGCTGCAGCTGTGAATGAATCGACGAGGTCGTGATTTCCATTGAAGCATGTTGTGCCTCCTGGTGCTGTGATGCATCTGCGCACCCGATTTGAGCGCCAGCGTCAAGCAGGTTGGCGCGCTGGCCCGAGCGTGCCAGCGCGCGACATCCACTTCGTAAACGACTGCGATACTTGAGACCCTCCATGCCGGTGCGCCAATGCAGTGTATGCTCAACATAGATACTAGAGCGAGTCCCGACGTGGTATACTTGCAGCTGGCCCAAATGGCAGCCTCAGACGCCATAGAGCCATGGATGGGAGGTGCGTCGGGGCGACCCCGTGCTCCTTGTGTCCCTCCGAGCACAATCCAGATACAAATAGTCTACCCTCGATGCTCCCGCAGGCTCCACGGCTCTCCAGCTGTTTTCCACTGGAACCCAGACGCGCACCTATGACGACCTGATTCTGGGCGCCCGGAAAATCACCTTTGGGGCCCACGAGGTAGACCTCTCCACCCAGCTCACCCGCGGCATCCGCCTGCGCACCCCCCTGGTCTCCTCTCCAATGGACACCGTGACGGAGGCCGGCATGGCGGTGGCCATGGCTGAGGTGGGCCCCTGCCAGGGTGGCATGCTGCTCAAACTTGGAGGCAGCTGGCGCCCCTGCCGGTGGTGATCTGGTCGACAGCACTGCCCCGCTGTGTTCACGCCATACCCACACTACCTTCAGGTCGGTGGCATCGGCATCATCCACTACAACTGCTCGGTGGAGCACCAGGTTGAGCAGGTGAGAGTCGTTGGGACGCATAGTGAGATAGGTGCAACGGCTGGGCATGAAGGGAGTGCATCTGTGTGGGTGTGAAGGGCTGTGGGCACAATGTCGCGCTCAGGGGATTTTGACTAATCATTGTCCCTGGCAGCGAACAAGCAGCACCTGTTGACCCCATTCTGGTCCATGCTGCGCCCTGCCAATCCACATTCTAGGTCTGCATCGCCAAGAGGCACGTGCCTGGTCAGGTGCTGATTCCCCCGACCCTGCCGCCGACAGCCACCGTGAAGGACCTGCTGGCGCTCAAGGTGACATGGGTGCACCAGTGGCTGCATGACGAAGTGCAGGGTTGCGCCAGCCAGTGATTTGAGGACTTGAGATTTTTGGCCCGGTCTCAATCCATGCCCACTGCCACCTACCGTCTTTCCTCCTGCAGGCCTCCACTGGCACCAGCTCTGTCTGCATCACCGAGTCTGGCAAGGTGGGATTGGTTGAGACCACCAAACTCCCTGCAACTTGGACCGTTGATGTGGGTGGCATGCCTTGAACCGTGGAGAATCCCTGGTCCACAAATCTCCATAATCCCCATGTACCCCCATGCAGGTCGGGGCCAGGCTGCTAGGCTTGGTGTGCGTCGGCGACTACGGTCTGGTGAGGGACCTGTCCACCCCCCTGTCGGCCATCATGACCACGGATGTGCAGACCGCTGCTGAGGGTGAGGCGGAGGCTGGGGGAGGGAAGAGGCCTCGCAAGGTGCGGTGGCTCATGCGCAGATCTTGGCCACGGCGCAGTCGGCACACTGAGTCACTTACTGTGTCGTTGGTGCTTTGAAAGGCAAGGTCGTGGTCTTGATCCCAGTACCATCTCCCTTCCAGGCACGCTGGATGCCACCAAGGCTGCAGAGGCACTCGCAGCGTCCCGCAAGGGGCACCTGCCCATCGTGAATGCGGCGGGGGAGCTCACGGGTCTGTTCACGCGGGCCGACCTCATGCGCGCCGCACAGCTCCCCCCTCGAGGTGGGCGGGGGAAGGGAGCAGTGTGGTTGGGGATGTGCAGGGCATGGAGGTGTAATGGCAAGAGTGGGGCGGCAGGGTAGTCAGGTCCCCACCTGGTCTGCCCCATGCCAATGCTTATCGGGGCACCGGTGTTCTATCACTGAAGGGTGACTAGGCCCGGAGCACAGCCCCGGCCCCTGGGATGCTTCTCCATCCCCTCCCCAACCACCCTTTCTGCAACCATGCACAGGGGCTCCCTCCCTCTCCTCCGACGGCCGCCTCCTGGTGGGCGCCTCCGTGGGCACCCGCGACTCCGACAAGGAGCGGTTGCGCCAGCTTGTGTGAGTTGGGCGCCGAAGGCGGAAATGTGCAAACTTGCTGACGCAACCTGGCGTGATGCCATGGTCTCTGTGCGCTGAGGCAGGTGCACCCATTCCCCTCCCCCCCCTCCCATTTTCCTCCCGCAGGGAGGCCGGGATCGACGTGGTGGTCATCGACTCCTCCCAGGGCTGGTCCCTCTTCCAGCTGGACATGCTGCGGCACATCAAGCGCGAGCACCCGGGCCTGCAGATCATCGCCGGCAACGTGATCAACGCCTTCCAGGTGCGGGCTCTTGTCACTGGGGGGAAGAGTGTGCTCTGGGATGAGTGAGGGGATGTGGAGCTGGTGTGTGTGTGCTTGAGGAGCAGGGAGTTGTGGCGGTCCAGTCCCCGCCTCTGACTCGGACAACCCCGACCTCCAGCCCCATGTGTACATGCATCCGACAAGACAGGGCCCCTCCCCACCACCACCGCACCTGGCCCCTCCCCACCCGTCACCCACCCCCTCCCCCGCACCTGCCCCCTCCCCACCCGTCACCCACCCCCTCCCCGCACCTGCCCCCTCCCCACCGTCACCCACCCCCTCCCCGCCCCGCACCCACATCACACTCCCAGGTGGTGGAGCTGATCGAGGCAGGCGCCGACGCGCTCCGCGTCGGCATGGGTTCCGGCTCCATCTGCACCACGCAGGAGGTGTGCGCCGTCGGCCGCGGACAGGCGGAGGCCGTCTTCGAGTGTGCACGCGTGGCCGCAAAGTTTGGCGTCCCCGTCCTGGCCGACGGCGGCGTGCAGAACGGGGGCCACATCACCAAGGCCCTCGCCCTGGGGGCCTCCACCGTCATGTGCGGCTCCCTCTTTGCCGGCACGGAGGAGGCGCCAGGTGTGTGATCCGAGGAATCGAGGGTGGGTGGGTGGGTTACCTGGGCACGGGGGTTGAAGGTGGGGCGGGGGGAGGACCAGCACAGGCACGGCTGGGGTCGGGCGTGCGCTCCGAGTCGCATCGCAGGCTCCTCGCGTCTCCGTGAACAATCACCCCGACGCGCAGGATCGGGCCTGGCCTCCCACACCCGCCCGCCGCCCCTCCCTCGCAGGCCAGTACGTGAGTGTGGACGGTGTGCGCGTAAAAAGGTACCGCGGCATGGGCTCTCTGGACGCCATGACCCAAGGCAGCGAGCAGCGCTACCTGTCCGACACGCAGGTGGGCGGGGGGGAAAGGAGGAGGGGGGGGGGCGGGGAGGGGAGGGTCCGACGCCGCGTGGCTCCGGAGCAGGAAGCCGGGCAGGAGGGCAGGCGAAGACCGTGGA